ATTGCCTACTCGCTGCGGCTGCTCTGTCCTATCTTTCATCCAAACACTTCACTTCGACCGGGTACATCATTTTCCGGTTGTACTTGAACTGTTTTTTTTGGACCCTCTCTTCTTGCCACTCTATGGTGCCGAGCTTTTCTTGCCTGGCCTATAGTTTTTCTTCTTCCCTTTTTTGCTTTTCATTTGTTACCTCTTCAGCCATCTTTTATCACTATTCACGAACTGGTTACGAAGACAAAAGAGCAATGCGACGATTTTTTTTTGCCTACTTCAACGTTCTGATCCTGGTCTATCTGGCTAGATGATGGGGGCTACGTATTACTTGATTCACTTGATAACGTCAGTGAGGTCAGACTGAATGGGAACTTTTAAAAGAGGGATGATCGATAAGTTGCAATGTGTCAGCGCATGTCAGCAGCACGTCGCCACATTCTCGCGCATCGATTCACAGGCACTTCTTGGACTCAGCCCGTTCTCTTTCGCATCGATAACTCTCTGGAACACTCTAAGTTTACGCAAAAAAGCAGTTGGTGACCTGCTGGCCTCCGTCGAAGTCATCATGCTCCTTGACACCCTCGAACTTTCTTTTGTGGCGTTTGCTTCTGTTGTTCACTGTTTTTTTTTCCTGCCTCTGTCTGTCTATGTGCTTGTTGAGTACGGCCAACAACTGAGTGGCACCCGAATAGCGGTATCGCTTCATCTAGCTTCTCGGATAACTATGTTATTATCCTATCTCGAGAAAACACACCAGCCATCCTGCGAGAAGAACGGGAGAGGCGGGGAAACCTTGGATGAAAACACACTTGAAACGTCATCATCTGATATGATTTCGTTTTTGGTAGAATACACGGTAGGTGGGGACCGATAGATCCTGGTCGGTTTTCCCGACGGAGCAACGACCGTTATCGCTCATCATCCGCGAGTCGGCTTCCACTTCTTCTGCGTTCTCTTTTGATGGTAGGTGCTTCTTGATATGCCCCGCTCGCTGGTCAGCACCTGCAGTCTTCTTGCGTGTGCACCGCAACTTTGAACATGCCTTGTCACGGCCCAGTGATACCTATCACCTATCGACCACTTTCTCGTCCCTCCTACCTATTCTCTCTTCTAACCCTAGGCATCTGCCAGCCACGAATTTTAGTCTGTCTAACCCTCGCTAACCTCTCATCTCGCTGAGCCGAATGAGGGAAGGGTGCGGGAGGAAGAGCATGCCAGCAATGATGTTTCTTTTCTCTTCATTACGGGCATTACAAGCAGTGCAAATGAACGTCCGACAGACGCGGTCGGAGCTTACGCGCTTACGGGCGACTGTGGGCTCCGCGTTCACATGATGGTTCAACGAACTCGGCGTTGGAAAAGCCAGCGGGCCCCATCAGGGGAACGCGTCTGATCCTGCGGCGGTATAAAGTTAGAGGTGGAGACTTGGGTGGAGACGTGTGTATCTCAGCGCATCTGCGTAAAGGTCGCTGACTAACGCCAAGCAAGGATGAACTAATCCCTCACAAGCGCCCTACATCAAGCCCTACAGTACCTCGGAAGTACTGTACGTCTTCTCGAGTTGCTTTTCGGTCGCCGCAAGTCATACATTTAGAGCATCGGAGTCCGTCAAGTCCGTTCTTGTCTTGGTTCTCGTATACGGACCACCCCAGATTTCGGTCTTGGCAATATTCATTACCGATACCTGTGGACAGCGATCAGTTCCAGCTTCGTCTCCATGATACTCCGACCTCCGACCTTGTGCTCAGCGATCACTGAATCGCTCTCTCACATAAGACGTAATTGCGCCTTAGCTCCTCCTGTCATTCATTTTAATGATTGATTTATAGACAGATCGCAGTTACGACTCCGAGTGCATGGCCTGTGGGAGGAATCGCAACACGCGAAAACCACGTCCATCGTTGATGAAAATCAACGGTGAACGGCCGCAATCTTACTGTAATTTTGCGACAGTCATCAGCGGGGGCCCAACTAGTAGAATGGTTTAGTCGAGCGCGCTCCGAGTCCGCACGCACGCGTGCTCCAGCTTCCATTCCACCATCCAAGTGTCGCGTCATCCTTGAAACCTTTCATGTTTGATTCCATCAACTACGACGGGGCAAGGTGGGCACTTTCTCAGATCCAAGATTCTCCAGGCCGGAAACAGCGGAACATGTACTGGTAATTCCTCTGGGTAATCACACTCTGGTCAGCACCATCACGTATCCACTCGATCTCGTGCCTTTCCCCGGGATGAATGCGATCCGCGTGATACAGCGAAAGTATCAGAAGGCGAGAACATAAGTAATGTCATGTAATGCCTGGCAGCACAGCTGCGACGAAGTATATGGCTTCTGAGTCACAATGCGCAGCTATGGCTATGACATATGACTATATGACTACGCAAGGTCCGTCTGGTTATCGATGCACCCATACTGTACAGAATCGAAGACTAGACATGTCTGAAGTACTGTCCACATGGCCACACGCCGTAGCTCAATCAAAGCCACCAACGGCCAAACACCCCTCCGTCTTGTCAGTAAAACCACACAACTGTGTAAATATGAAAATAGTGCGAAGATGACGGAATGGCCAGATGAACCGTACACAATGAGAGAAGTCCCAGATGAAAGAAAGCAGCCCCTGACTCAAGACGCAGTCTCGCGGCGGTGATGTCGTTGCCCACGCGGAGGAGCAGGGTTCTCGGGCCTGAGCGAGCAATACAAGAAATGACGCCGCGGGAGCGTCGCACTCGCCATGCCCGCGACCGCCGCGACGCGCGCGCCGAGGGGAGCCGTGTCCGTCCCGCTTCCGCGCACACCAAGGGAGAACATACGATCGAACACTGGTGAATCCATAATTAACAATTCGATTGCTTGTTTGTTTTTTAAAAAGAAAAAGACGGGGAAGACTGGTGAGTGTGGATGGACGACCACGCACGTGTAGCTATGAAGGCCTTGGCCGTCGTTTGGCACGTGAGGTGCGAGAGCGCGAGAGGCGGGCTGACGCCTTCGAGCGTGCGGAGGTACCGGAAGACCATCGAGGGTGGCAGGGCCCGAAGCGGAAGACGGCTTGGTACGCCTGGCGCCACTTTTCGTCGAGCAGTCGCGCGCAGGTAGATGGGTCTGGGCAAGATGGGCACTGGAACACGAGTCACAAGTTAGGGTCCATGTTTGAGTTCACGTCCCGAAATGGGCCTTTCCCCCAGCAGACACAAACGAGACGAAAAGAAACAAATTGCGAAAGGCGACGTACGCATTCGTATTCTTTGGCGATTTGGGTAAGACCCAGCTTGAGTACTCGTTCAAGAAACCAAGTGCGCCTGTGTACGTTGCGATTGTTAGCAGTGGGCGATATCATCGATGCGCATATATAAGACGGAAGGGTGAGTAGGGGTTTTTTTCTTACCGCTTTTCGAGTTTGAGTAGCGTCTCGCTGCTGAGCGTGTTGAGCTCTTGCTCCGGCCATCCGCCTGGATTGTCGAGCACGAAGCGCGAGGCCTCTCGGTACAGCTCTTCCTCCTCGAAGAGTTCTGCAATGCGCATCGCTTTGATCGGGCGACCGGCCGCGTGTGTAAGGAGAAAGTTGAGGCAGATTCGTTGCAAGGACGGCACGCAGAGCTTGTTTCCGATGTTCATAAGGCCCTCGACGTTGTTCCATGTGATGGTGCATTCCATGCTGTTATTGTCAGAGGTCAATACGATGCACCCGTTCTGATTCTGGCCAGGGGCTACCCAGGGTAGACGAATCGAAGAAAATCATGAAAGGTGCTGCCTGGGACGCGAGTGAGGTGAGGTTTGTAAACGTGGAGTGAAGAAGAACCACACCTTCTCCTCTTTGAGGACTATAACGGCATCCGGATTACTGGCCATTTGGTAACGCCCAGAAGATACCTGTGTGTTTCCGCGCTTCCAAGAAAGTTTGACGATACCTTTGCCTTTGCCCTTGTCTGTATCCTTAGGTGATTCTGGTGAGCCTGCGCCAGCATTCCCACCGGCACCCTTCTGAAGCTTTTCCAAGCTTTCCATTCGTGCGGCTTCATGGGCTTTCTTCTGCGCATCGGCTTCAGAGCACGTATCCAAATCCACCGCGGGTCCAGGTGTGTGCTTGTTGTCCTTTCCGGGCCCAACGACGGTTGAAGTGGAGGACTCGATGACCTCCGGTTCGCTCAACTCTGAAAGGTCGGCATCCAGGTCATCGGAATCGACGTCGGGGTCTACGGGTGCAAACGTCATGGCAGTAGGCGCATCGGGATGAATCTTGTCCCCAGGGACTGTTGGGGGTTGAGAAATCGTAATGACAGAGGACATTGAGAGCGGGCGTCCGGTCTCGGCCCAGTTTCCACTCAGAGCGGCCTGGAAGAACGGAGAGGAGAACCAAAGGACTTCCTTGTGTGCCCTAAGCAGATCCCACCGTCAGTGGGTTCACTGGCAGGATGAGTTAGATGGGCAAGCCCCACACGCACCAGAACGTCGTGCTCTCGACAACAATTTTAACCGTCCCAGGAAATTGGGAGCTCTTGGTAACGCGTCGTCGATTTCGATGGGCTCCCGCGAGTCGTTGATGCTGACCTCAGAGACTGCATCCTCTGTATCCACGCCCTCGATAAACCATGGAGGTGATCCGGCCGAGGAACGGAAAATCCCCGCTGCTGCGGCGTGTGTCTCTATAGGTGAGCTCAGAGATGCAGAGGTAATATTTGACTGGCCACGGGAGTTGCGAGCGATAAGGATGTGCGATGGATTGGTCGTCATTGCAGTTGGTGAGGTCCGGAGCCAAATGCAAATGGGTTAGTTCGCTGCTGGAGGACACCGGTCAGCCAGTCCACCTAGGCGGGCAGATTGACTGTGCGGCCTACGGAACAAGGGGCGATCGCGCATCTCGGTCCGCCGTTGGATACGATACCCTGACCACCCGAAGAGCAGATCTCACTAACCAGCGATTTGAGAATACAAGTGCTTTGATTCACAATAACAGTAAGTACAATCTACGACTGATATCCTGCACATCACACCATCAACCATCCTGGCGCTATAGTGTAGTGGCTATCACAACGGATTCTGACTCACTGATGTTCCGTTAACCCAGGTTCGAACCCTGGTAGCGCCTTTTTTTCTGAAGTGTGCTATCGTAGTAGGAGCTAAGGGACGGATACAGCATGGACAAGTAAGCCAGGTATTTTGATGATTCGGAGCTACTCTCGAATATCATAAGCTGGACACCAAGGATCCGAAATTTGAAGGCGCCATTTTCAAGACAGAAATTCGGGTCAAAAGCGCTGATTAGGGCTAACGTTTCGGTTCTGCAGATCAAACGAGGAGGACGGGAAGTTATCAGAAGGCCTGGGACACGATGGAGACATCGGGGGAGGTGTCAGTGCACTCATGTGAGAAGGCAGAGCGATTTCAACAGGTATGGGAACCAGTTCTATTCTAATGGCCGCAAACCTAATCTTCCCGACCAAGAGGGTCGGAGAAACACTGTAGACCCCAGTGGAATTGCGGGTGCGCTGTCCGGAGTATGGGGAAGTGAGAAAAAGTTGGACATCTTTCTTCTGAGGGTACTATAGTTGGATACTGAATAGGGTGAATTGTCCACCCGGTTCATTCCTCGTCGCGAGACTGTATCGCCTTTGAGCCTTTCTCGCTCCACCAGTGACGCCACTCAGTTTTTCATCGCTCGGATGCGTTCGACAAGCCCCTGCGCACAATTCGGTCCTCACCCGTACCAACGAGACTTGCGGTAGTCAGGGCACGCAATGATGTGTCTGCCACTTGGCCAGCCATTCTCCGCGTTCCTGAGTCGTAAACCAGCTACCTCCAATTCGGACTTCCTCACCTGTGGCTCAGTTTCATATTGCCCAATCTGCTGTTCGAGCGCACGCACGAGACAGTAGCAACGCATCGAGCTTCGCTTGCGTGTTCACAAGCTCTGACTGACGTCCTTCTGCTCCACCAGTGAAGGTCTGCGCGAGTAATCGATCTGCGTCGTCGTGTCGTCAGTCGGCTGTGCCAGGCGCCGGTCCGTTCGGTTTGCACAGTAAGCGTTGCGGACAGCTGCCGCTCAAGCTCCAACTGTGCCGTGTGCTACGTAGGCATCTGAAAAGGATGTCGGGAGTTCCGGTTGCTCCTGTGTGTCGGGACGGGATGGCTTCTGCTGGCGTCGGGATTCGAGACTCTTGCGTTTTCAGTCTTGGAGGGCTGTCCAATGAAAGACCAAAAAAGTCGTACTTTGTCCAAAACGTAATACCAAGTGTCGTTATAGTGATGTCGGCTGTCAGCACCACCGAATCTAAGTCTGGTAATGACGAGGACGAGGGAGAGGGGAACGAGCAGGATGATACGGTCACCAGGGTTACTGAAACATGGCTGATCCTCGGAGGGGGCTTTTCGTCTCCGGGTGTGGGCTCATATGAGTCCCAATCAGGTTTTCGATTATACTGCGGGGATATCGAGTCAAAACAGCGACGGGAGATCGTACGAGTTCAAATTGAATTCCCGCACTCCCCGTCGATCTGACCACGAAAATGAAGAGCCTAGAACCGAGCATGGCAGAAACGACCCACAGACCGGGTCCACTCTCCAGATGTTGGGATGCCAGAAACTCTGATGTAATCAGCTGAGCCAGTCTTGATATCAGCGATCCGGAGTGCCTAAACTGAGAGAATAAAGGAAATTCATCAAGGCCCTTTCAGCGCGCCCTGGTCATCAATGTCCGTGGCCCCGCCCCAAATCAGAGGGACGCTGCTGTGGTTGGTATGAAACGTGGACTGGGACACTTTCCGCTGGTTTGCAAAAGTTGCGGAGACTACTTGCAGATTGCGCATTGAGAACACATATAAATCGTTGCGTAGAGAGTTGTGTACAAGACCTCAAAGCGGAACAATTCACCGGCGGCACTGGGACATGTCGGGGAAATGGTGGTAGCGACATTCAGCCGGGGGAGTCAGGAAACGTCTGGAGTCAAATGTTCAGGCGTCGCGACCAGGAGACAGGTCGTGGCCGTTGAATAGATTGTGAGTTAGCCACGGCCTTGCAGCGCCCAAATAGTCAATGGCTGGGTTTCGGCTGGGCTTGAACTACACTTGCACACTTACAGAATCCAAAGGACGAACGCCGGCGGCGGGTCGTGATTGCTGCTTGCGTTGCTGGCGCTGGTATCTGTGCTCAATACGCTACATTGCTCGTGTCCCTCGTGGAGGAAGAAGACGAGGATACGTCGTAAAACACTTCTTCAACAACGTATCCACTCCTCTGACTTCCACATCTGCCAGAGAGACGACGTCATCAGAACCACCATCCCCTACCTCGGAAAGTGATTCACAACAATCTACAGAACCCTCTATGGCTGTTTGCCATGTTCAACGTGCAAGCGGCTATCGATCGGCTTAACGAAATCGCAGCCGAGGCCCTTGAAGGACATGTTGTCTAGCCGTTGAAAGATGCACTATTCGTTCCAATGCGTCTTTTGAACCACATTTTCGTCCGTGGCTTTACTTTGTGCACTGTATGTGACGATGATAAGATGTTCACCAGTTGGTTCGGATTAAGATCCATGACAACACGAGCAGCCAGTCGTTCTCACTCCGCCAGAATCTTATCCCCTCGGTGGGCCTCCTAGCGCTACTTGTACAACTTTAGGAACAGTTATGTTAGATCACATACAACTCAAACACTCGTACGCTAGTGGACAACGTGTTCATGTGAGTGGTGCACTAGCGCGGAATGTACTAGATAGAGCGTGGAATAAAGAACAATATGGTTAATCGGGCGCTTATGGGCCAGAGCGAGCAGCATTCTTGTCCCCATGACGGACATCATTCATTGATGTGTGATGGCCGAAATGCTGCCAGGTGCAGACCGACACCACGTGCATCCACTGCTCAAAAACTCCCGCTGTAATTTACATCACTATCCCCCTCCTCTCGTCCCTCCTTTCTCCACCCATGTCTTTTGCTCGCCATCTGGTCTCTCCCTTGACCACTCAGCCCACTTCTGGTGGTGCCAGTGTCTCTAATGTCGAGGCCATGTTTACCCAAATCTTGGAAGTTGTCCTAAAATCTGTAAGTACTGTCCCGTCATTGACCGTCTTCACGACGCGACCTCTTAACACCTTCTCACACAGCGCGCGGAGATTGCTGAGCTTCGTCAGGAATGCACCGAGCTGCGGCAGGCCAATTTGAGCCTCGAGCGCCAAGTTAGGGAGGGCATCGTTTCTGCGGTGTGTTCTCCCCTCCCAGTATCGCCACGCCACGTTCATTGACAGCCAGCAGACGCGTAGCCCCCATATAGGGACTCCAGGGTTCAACACCCCAGCCCCTAGCTCTCCCCAGCTTCGCGCAAAGACACCCTTCCTTAACCCGAACTCAATCCCCTCTCTTGGCGTCGTGCCCGTACACGTAGCATCGCCACTCGGGGACAACGGCGTGTCTTATTCTTCTTTCGGGCCTATTCGTGAGATCCCTGGTTTCTATGTTGTCATCCCTGCTGGAGGCGCCGGCACGCGCCTGTGGCCCCTGTCGCGGGAGAACCACCCCAAGTTCCTTCTCGATGTGACTTACAAGGCCGCAGCCTGATTCAAGCAACGTGGGATCGTTTGCTGCCACTTAGTGGTGCTGATCGTCTCACAGTCGTCGCCGGCCCCGCCCATGTTAAAAGCATCCATGAACAGCTTCCGGACTTATTGCCGCAAAACCTCTTCTGTGAACCGGGTCCGAAAGATTCTATGGCCGCAATCGGCCTCGCTGCGGCGATCCTCGCCCAACGTGACCCTGATGCCGTCATTGGCTCGTTTGCGGCCGACCATATGATCTCAGGTACTGACGCATTTCTTAGTGCCGTCGCTGAAGCCGTCGAGGTCGCACAGAATGGTTACCTCGTCACCATCGGCATCGCCCCTTCTCACCCCTCGACCGGATTCGGTTATGTGCGGCTGGGTGACAAACTCAGCATTCCTGAGGCGCCAAACGCCCGCCTCGTTTCAAGTTTCAAAGAGAAACCCGATGCGCGTACGGCAGCGGCGTACATCGCCACTGGTTCTTATCGATGGAACGCGGGCATGTTCGTCACGAAGGCCTCGTTTTTAATGGAACTACTCAGGGAGTATAAACCCGAGCTTGAGGAGGGTCTAACAAGAGTTGCTGCTGTCTGGGATGACGAGACCCAGCGAAATAAGGTGCTAGAAGAGTTGTGGCCCACTCTCGAAAAGATCGCTATTGACAACGCTGTGGCGGAGCCCGCGGCGTTGGAGGGTCGTGTTGCTGTCGTACCAGCTACTTTCGGTACGTATGTTCTTCTGACAAGTTGCGTCGGCTAATCGGCGGCGGCATCACAGGTTGGGATGATGTTGGAGACTTCTCGTCTCTTGCCGAACTTCTGCCTGCAGAAGCAAACCAGCCCCGCATTCTTGGTGATAGCGGATTGGGTGTGTCCACTATTTTATGTTTGTGGTGCCCGCAAAAGAGAGCTTACGGACTCCCACAGTTCTTACTGAGCAGGTCGCTGGTGGCATCGTTGTGCCTGGTTCCGGCCGACTTGTTGCGTGCTTGGGGGTGGACGATCTCGTCATCGTCGATATGCCCGACACGCTCCTTGTCACGACGCGTGCCCGTTCGCAGGAAGTGAAAAGGCTTGTCAAAAAGGCCAAGGACTCCGGTTGGCGCCGGTTGCTATGAGCAAACTCTTTTTCGCATCTTCGGGAATACAGATCTACATTGGGCCTTTTTTCTGCGTAATGTTTCTGGCCGTCTTACTGTAGTCATCTTCTCCCCATGGACTATTTGGTTTCTGGAACAGAACTCGAACAGAACAGAGTAATGTAATAGCTACCTCGCCTCGTCTCTACCTTGGATAGTTGTGAACCTAGGACACGTCGTTACATGGACCTTACCATAATTAATCAAGAACAATGTGCTTCAGAGTCTTGTGACCCGTGTTGCGGCCTTTAGACGCTTCCTGATTTATTCCTTATCACCCACGCCGCCATGTCTTTTTTCTGTCGGCAACTCTCCGCCCGCACCGTATTCTCATCACACAAGTTCGCCCTTACTTCCGTCCGGTTCATGTCCGCCTTCAACAAAAACTATGAGAACATACTCACGTCGCGCCCGG